CGGCTCAAAGGCCGTTATTCGTGAGCTCGGAGTTACCTTGATGAGGCTTTATGAGCCTGGAGTTCCGACCTTAGGGTCGTGCGAGTGCCAAATTATTGATGCTAAGTCTCCGAGTATTTCGAAATGGATTTGGCGGGGGAACCCCTGCCGAGGGTGTACTAAAATTCCATTTTTTGTAGTGTGAGATGTTGAAATATATTCTTTTATTGCTTGGCGTAAACACATATCGTTTCGTTGCTGTGAGCTCGGCCGGCGTGGGTGCGGCTCATTGGACCATTTGGCCCAGTACATGATTCCCTATTGAGGCTCAGTCTGTCGTTCCCCAGTCCTTCCAAGCAGACGGCACCTTCAAAAAAAAGGGGGGTGTCCTTCATCATTTGATTGTAGAAGAACGCATGTGATCTTGGAGGATCCTCTTCAAGGGTACGTTGCTCCGATAAGTACCTTGCTGGGGAGACCCTCTTTGGGGTGGAAGTCCGGCCGAGGGGAAAGAGCGTGGTGGTTTCTGTTAAGGCCTTGAGGTCTCCAGGCATAGTTAGAACTCCCAAAAGCCCTGACCTGATGTCTCTGCATACAGGTTAGTGAAAAATAACGAAGGAGGGATGTAGTTTTTCTTTACCGTGGGATGTGTAGGCGATGTGTCATGTGATGCGGGATTTCCCCTTGTTGCGTATTACCTCCTGCCGACGGTTTTAATTCCGTACCTCTTGTGGGATTTCATCTTTTTGGCAAAATGGGGGCGAACCTGTCCTCTGGTGATGCGCCCGTGGTCGCCTGGATAAGGCGTTTGTGCCTTGCGCCTCCCTTGATGACATGGAACTCGGCATTCCGGCCTGTGCCAGTCATGCCGTACTAAGAAAATGGTCTTTCTTCTTGTCATAGAGATCGCTGTTTGGAATCAGTGCATCATTGTGAGGTCGAGACGAGGTCTCGGTACCCTCTTTGTTGGACGTAACGACGTCCTTGGGGGTATATCCCCAGATCTGCCTTTCTACGGTGGCGAAAAATTTTGCATACCCTTTTACAAGTCCTTGGGTTGTCGCTCCTCTATTACCGTGGTAGTGTGTTGCGGCCTGCTTGCTTCGTTCCTTCCGGCCGCCTTCCGTACTGGGGACGGAACTCGAATTCAGTCACTCGTCAGTTCTCGGGGGTTATTTTTGTCGAGCGGCTTGGCGTCTTTTCTTTCGGAGCTGATGGATTTTGGCCTCGCAGCCGCACTTGCTATGTAGTTCCCGTGTCAAGCCGAGATTCCTTTGAGGTAAATAAGGCTGAGTTGGTCCGAACCATTTGACATCCCCGATTTCACCTATGGCAGACGCGATGTTTGATATATGGATGTGGAAATTGAATTCTGACGGGCAAGGCGCCCTTTCCGACTATGCGTCCTCGTCGAATCTGGCTTTGTCATCGATTCCTCGAGGATGTTGCCCTCCGGCCATTCTCTGATTGTTTTGAGGTAAATAGCATCTCTGGGCGTCCCACCTATATGCGACACACGGGTGGTACCTTCTTCTATTTGGCATTTTTTTCTATGCCAGGAGCCTGTTTGAGTAAGGTGAGCCCAAGGGGGCTCCCGGATTGCCATCCACGACCCTGATTTGTGACCATGCCAGGTAAGGGCACCCGACTAGGTCTTGGTTGGGTACCTGATCAAGTTTTGTTTAAACTGCCATGAGATCATCGGTCTTAGTTTTTAGGCTATGAGTGAAGGCCTGTGTTGCCCAGTCATCCGAGGCCGGGGGAAATCTCGTTCGTTCCACCAGGGAATAACGTGTTAATTCTTGTGGCGTTTCATTCTCCATTTGTTTGGCCCTGGATGTGTCGGGCTCTCTCTTGTCGCTGCTTCGATGGCATTGGCGTGTGTCTTTACGGAGGAATCTGTCGGTATGGTAGGCGAGTTTATGGGATCGGGCGCTAGGTTATGATGCCACATCATTGTTCCTTTCGAAAGTGTTTCCCCGAACCTCTTTGATAAGGCAGGCTCGAACTCATCATCCCGTAGGTCGTTACTTTTTCCCGCGCATGCATAGGCGGTGATGTGTTCATTTGGATATATGGTCCCATTGTACTTATGGAGCTCTGGTGTTCTGGATTTCTTTGAAATGTGTTCCGGGGTCGCTTCCTCAGGGAACAGCCATTGCACGAACTTCCTCAAATCTACACCTTTTAGGACCGGGGATGCGCCCGGGATTTGGTCAACTCTGAAGTTATAGGTTTTGACCTTCTTATCCTTGGCTGCTATCATTTTCTCGCCTTACTCTATCCTTTTGGTGAGATCCTTCAGCATTTTTGGTATGGCAGGGTCGGCTACTCATCAGTTACTGCTTGATCTCTCGGGTACTTGCTCGGCGGGGGGAGCTGTTTCTGATGCCGCTGTACTAGGAGTTTTCGGATGGCTTTATAACTAAGCGATGGCCAACTATTGTGCCTGCAACATTTCAAAAATAACATGAAGATTAACTTCTCGTTCTTCCCGGGCTGGGGTTTTTTGGGCTTCCTGTTGGTTGGTATGTTGTATGCTTCCGTCGGTGTGTGAGGTTTCGTCGACTTGTTGAGAATCTTGCAAAACCGCATCCGCCGGAACCGATCCAAGTGCATTATCGGGGTTCCGCAGTGGCGCGCCAACGACTAGTTCAGCCATACCATTTTCTCTGTGGTTTTCGAGGTTGCCATTCCCGACTCTATTTACCAAGCCAGACATTTTGAACTGAAATCAAGAGATCTTGGATAAAAGAAGTGTGAAAGATAACTTGCATTTTTGTAATGGAGCCAGCAAGAAAAGGTTTCATATTTAGTTCTAAGAAATAGAGTCCATGTGAGCTCGGCCCACGTGGGTGCGGCTCATTGGACCGTTTGGCCCAGTACATGATTCCCTATTGAGGCTCAGTCTGTCGTTCCCCAGCCCTTCCAAGAGGACGACGCCTTCAAAAAAAAGTGGGGTGTCCTTCATCGTTTGATTGTAGAAGAAGGAATGTGATCTTGTCTGATCCTCTTCAGGGGTACGTTGCTCCGATAAGTACCTTGCTGGCGAGACCCTCTTTGGGGTGGAAGTCCGGCCGAGGGGAAAGAGCGTGGTGGTTTCTGTTAAGGCCTTGAGGTCTCCGAGCAGAGTTAGAACTCCCAAAAGCCTTGACCTGATGTCTCTGCATACAGGTTAGTGAAAAATAATGAAGGAGGGAGGTAGTTTTTCTTTACCGTGGGATGTGTAGGCGATGTGTCATGTGATGCAGGATTTCCCCTTATTGCGTATTACGTTATGCCGACGGTTCTAATTCCGTACCTCTTGTGGGATTTCATCTTTTTGGCGAAATGGGGGTGAACCTGTCCTCGGGTGGTGCGCCCGTGGTCTCCTGGATAAGGCGTCTATGCCTTGCGCCTCCATTGATGACATGGAACTCGGCATTCTGGCCTGTGCCAGTCATGCCGTACTAAAAAAATGGCCTTTCTTCTTGTCATAGCGATCGGTGTTTGGAATCAGTGCATCATTGTGAGGTTGAAACGAGGTCTCGGTACCCTCTTTGTTGGACGTAACGACGTCCTTGGGGGTATATCCCCAGATCTGCCTTTCACCGGTGGCGAAAAATTTTGCTTTCCCTTTTACAAGTCCTTGGAAAGGGTCGTCGCTCCTCTATTATCGTGGTAGTGTGCTGCGGCCTGCTTGCTTCGTTCCTTCCGGCCGCCTTTCGGACTGGGGACGGAACTCGAATTCAGTCACTCGTCAGTTCTCGGGGGTGATTTTTGTCGAGCGACTTGGCGTCTTTCCTTCGGAGCTGATGGATTTTTGCCTCGCGGCCGCACTTGCTATGTAGTTCCCGTGTTAGGCCGAGATTCCTTTGAGGGAAATAAGGCCGAGTTGGTCCGAACCATTTGACGTCCCTGATTTCGCCTACGGCAGACGCAATGTTTGATATATGGATGTGGAAATTGAATTCTGACGGGCAAGGCGCCCTTGCCGACTATGCGTCCTCGTTGAATCTGGCTTTGTCATCGATTCCTTGAGGATGTTTCCCTCGGACAATTATCTTATTATTTTGAGGTAAATAGCATCTCGGGGCGTCCCACCTATATGCGGCACACGGGCGGTACCTTCTTCTGTTTGGCATTGGTTTCTATGCCAGGAGCCTGTTTGAGTAAGGTGAGCCTGAGAGGGCTCCCGGATTGCCATCCACGACCCTGATTTGTGACAAATGCCAGGTACGGGCACCCGACCAGGTCTTGGCTGGGTACCTGATCAAGTTTTGTTTGAACTGCCCTGAGATCATCGGTCTTGGTTTTTAGGCTATGAGTGAAGTCCTGTGTTTCCCAGTCATCTGAGGCCGGGGGAAATCTCGTTCGTTACACCAGGGAATAAGGTGTGAATTCCTGTGGCGTTTCATTCTCCCTTTGTTTGGCCCTGGATGTGTCGGGCTATCTCTTGTCGCTGCTTCGATGGCATTGGCGTGTGTCTTTACGGAGGAATCAATCAATATGGTAGGCGAGTTTATGGTATCGGGCGCTAGGTTATGATGCCACATCATGGTTCCTTTCGAAAGTGTTTCCTCGAACCTCTTTGATAAGGCGGGCTCGAACTCATCATCCCGTAGGTCGTTACTTTTTCCCGCGCACACATAGGCGGTGACGTGTTCATTTGGATATAAGGTCCCATTGTACTTATGGAGCTCTGGCGTTCTGGATTTCTTTGAAATGTGTTCCGGGGTCGCTTCCTCGGGGAACATCCATTGCACGAACTTCCTCAAATCTACACTTTTTAGGACCGGGGATGCGCCCGGGATTTGGTCAACTCTGAAGTTATAGGTTTTGGCCTTCTTATCCTTGGCTGCTATCATTTTCTCGCCTTACTCTATCCTTTTGGTGAGATCCTCCAGTATTTTTGCTATGGCAGGGTCGGCTACTCATCAGTTACTGCTTGATCTCTCGGGTACTTGCTCGGCGGGGGGAGCTATTTTTGATGCCGCTGTACTAGGAGTTTTCGGATGGCTTTATAACTGAGCGATGGCCAACTATTTTGCCTGCAACATTTCAAAAATAACATGAAGATTAACTTTTTGTTCTTCCCGGGCTGGGGTTTTTTGGGCTTCCTGTTGGTCGGTATGTTGTATGCTTCCGTCGGTGTGTGAGGTTTCGTCGACTTGTTGAGCATCTTGCGAAATCGCATCCGCCGGAACTGATCCAAGTGCATTATCGGGGTTCCGCAGTGGCGCGCCAATGACTAGTTCAGCCATACCATTTTCTCCGTGGTTTTTGAGGTTGCCATTCCCGACTCTATTTACCAAGCCAGACATTTTGAACTGAAATCAAGAGATCTTGGATAAAAGAAGTGTGAAAGATAACTTGCATTTTTGTAATGGAGCTAGCAAGAAAAGGTTTCATATTTAGTTGTAAGAAACAGAGTCCATGTGAATCTAGAGTAGTCATCCACTATCACAAATATGTATCTTTTTCCTCCCCTGCTTTGCAATCTCATAGGGCCACATAAATCCATATGCAGAAGATCGAGTGGCTTTGAGGTGCTTACATCCCTTTTAGACTTAAAAGAGGACTTCACATGCTTTCCTCTAGCACAGGCATCACATACTTTCTGTACTTTGAACTTTGACATGGGCAGACTATGGACCAGGTCCTTCTGAATTAGTTTGTTCAGAAGAGAGAAGCCTGCGTGTCCCAATCTTCTGTTCTAGAGTTCAGCATCATCATCAACAGCTTTTAGAAAACTTAGATCACCACTTTGTATGGACTCGAATCAGCAACATAGATGTTCTTGTGTCTCTTGGCCACAAGTACCCCTTCACTAGTTACCATATTAGTAATTGTACAAATCTTGGACAAGAACTACACCTTGTTTCCTTTATGACAAATTTGAGAGACACTCAAGAGACTGTACTTAAGACCATTGACATAGTACACATTCTCAATAGAGTGAGTGAGTGATTTCCCGACTTTTCCAACTCCAAGAATGTACCTCTTTTTCCCATTGCCAAAGGATACACTCCCTCCTTGCAGGGCTTTTAGTGAAAGAAAGTCCATAGTGTTCCNAGCTTCTAGTGAAAGAAAGTCCATGGTGTTCCCAGTCATGTACTTTGAACATCTACTATCCATGAACATTCTTGACTGCTTCCTTTCATTGTTCCATGCACAAAGAGATCAATAGTTAGTTTTAGGAACCCAAGCAAGTTTGGGTCCCTTGTAGTAGGCAAGAGGATGAATAAGAGCTCTCTTAGTCCATACAGGTAATATGCATTTTTTGTGTGTGGAACCTAGTCCCTTTTTAGTAGTTACATTTTCAGCAAATACTTTGTTTTCTGAATGGACTGGACCCTAGCTTGGCAATTTTCCTTGAAATGCCCATTGTTCCCATAGTGGGTACACAACCAGTTATCTGGTACAATAACATACTTGCTATGGGGGTTGTAAGTAGTTTTCTCCCTTTGGAGCCCTATTCCCTGCCCGTTTCCACCATTATTAACGTACATGGCGGTGATAGCTTCAGAGGACCAGGTACTCTTTAGAGACTTTTCAAGATCATTTTTTATTCTTTCCAGTTCAGTCTGGAGATGCTTTTTTTTCTCAGATTCAACACACAGACTAGTTATCACAGCCTTCAACACGTTTTCAAGCCTAATGTTTTCTTTACTTGCTACCACTTTTTCTTTTCCAGAATTTCAAGGGTTTGACTCAGTCCCTAGTCCCTCTATTTTTTCCCTTAGGTCTGCAATCACTACCAAGAGATCATCTCTTTCTTCCTCAATCTCAATCGCTCTCTTCATTAAAGCTTCTCTTTCTTTTCTAAAGTTTTCAATCGTTTCCTTATGGTCAACAACTACAAACACTAAGTCATCTCTTTCATGTTCTATGTTAGCAATGTTTTTGGTTAAAACAAATTTTTCTTTCTCCATCTCACAAATGGTTTCCTTCAGATCAACTACACACACTACCAGATCATCTCTAGTTTGTTCAGCTTCTCCTAGCTCTAAGGTCAAGGACTTATCCTCCACAAGACTATGATAGGAATCAACCAATACACTAGCTAAAGATATGAGTTTCTTAGAAGAGCAGGATTTCATATTTTTTTGAACATCCCTGAAATTTACCTCACTGTTGTTATCGTCTTCATCATAATCTGATTGGGCCATCAAAGAAAATATTGAATCATATTCATTTTCCTCACTTTCAACTGCCATCATGGAGTTGTCACATGCATTAGTTTCATCTTCAGACTCACTAGAGAAGTCTCCCCATGCTGCAAGAGTATGTTTCACCACATTGTCAGCAGATCTCTTCCTCTTGAAGTCCTTGTCAGGAACCGGGTTCCTCTTTGTTGCTTTCTCAGTGTTGTACTTGGAGTACTATTGCTTCATGAGAGGACGGTCTTTGATGAAGTGACCAGGCTTTCCACACTTATGGCAGAGATCATAGTTATTTGGTTTTCTGGAGTTTCCCCTTTTCGGTATTCCTCCATTTCTTCTGACCATCTTCTAAAATCTTTTGGTTAAGTAAGCCATGTCACTGTCCTCCTCACTCGAGTTATTGCTTTCAGCTTTGAGTACCAGGTTCTTTTCTTTCTTTGGTTCTCTTCTTTTACTGTCTATCATCCTCTTTATCTTGTAGGTCTTCAAATTTCCAACCAGCTCGTCAACGGTCAGCTCCTGCAGGTCCTTTGCATTAGTAATAGCATTCACCTTGCTTTCCCAAGTACTTGGCAGGATACTGAGAATTTTCCTCACTAGCTTGTTTCTAGGAATGATTTCACCGAGTGAGTGTAAATCATTTATGATAGAGGTGAATCTTGTGTGCATATCTTGAATAGATTCATCGTCCTTCATCCTAAACAATTCATACTCGGTGGTGAGCATATCAATCTTAGATTTCTTTACTTGTGTGGTTCCCTCATGTGCTATTTGCAGAGCTTCCCATATCTCCTTTGCAGTATCACAAGCAGAAATTCTATTGTACTCATCAGGTCGTATTCCACATACCAAACTTTTCTTGGCATGAAAATTTTTCACCACAACTTTAAGTGCCTTTGTTAGGATGTAAGGACCATCACATATGACATCCCACAATTCAGAATCTTCAGCCATGATAAAATCATGCATTTTTATCTTCCGCCACCAATAATATTGCTCATTTAACCTGGGTGGTCTGTACGTAGATTGACCTTCTTCAAAGTTTTGTGGAGCAGCCTTACGGATCCTTCCTAGGTGTTAGCCTAATAGGAGGAACCTGCTCTGATACCAATTGTTAGTTTATATGAGTCCACCAAACTATAGGGTACCTGGTCCTCTATGAGTTTCCACTTAGAATATAAAACAGTAAGTAAATAAGACATAGAAATTTTACGTGGAAAATCCCACTCTAGGGGACAAAGAACACTTTGTCATCAAAACTCTTCTTGCTTGTGACTATCCAGTTAATGCCATTCCAGTTGAAAATAGTTCATCCTTGAGGACACCCATCAACAGCAAGGTTAGGACTTTGGTTCAGAAATGTGCAGTTAAGGATGCTGAAATTGCTAGGCTCAAGGCTCATTTGGTTGAAGTGGAAGCTGAGAGGGATGGTCTCAGAATTAAGCTTGCAAAAGAAAAGGAGAAGAATGATGGAATTCTTCAGAACATGATTAATCTTCTCCAAACTCAACCCTCCAGTTCCTCCAAGCCTTAGGACTCCTAGTTTCTGTCTCCTGAACTAGTTCTAGTACCCCCAGTGACCCAGATTAGGGATTTTTCTGGGTTTTTTTTGCTCATGATTTGGATGTTTTTCTTTCTTTTTGTGGATTGTTAGTGGCACCATATCTCTTTCAATGACAACTGTTGTTTTCTCTTGTTCAATGATTATTCTTACCTTGATAGTTTAAATATGTTTGTTTGATTACTGATGATTACACCATGATTGCACTTGCAGTTGCCCCAGTGGCCATGAGTACTTATTAAAATCTGGAATTCACACTGTGTATGTATCTTTTCGATGATGCCAAAAGGGGGAAGAAATATTGGGCTTTACACATATTCGGAAATAAGTGATATTTATAACCTAATTAACCTGGTCCTTGATTAAAAGAAAATTTTCTAAGTTTAGTGTTGATGGTTAAGTTGAGTTCTTACAGGTTTTTTGATCAATAAAAAACACAGAGTTTGTCATCATCAAAAAGGGAGAATTTATTGGCCCAAGAACAGGTGAAGTTTTGAAGAATCACAAATGAACTCAGTCATGGACCAGGTCCATCTTGTGAAGCACTGTCATGATCAACCTACACATGTGAGATGCACGTGAAGGAGATAAGTCCTACTGATCAAGAAACAATATTTTCTGATCTGATCGAAAAGGTTGCATATTGGATAAGGGGAGAAAGTCTCCTTATATGAAGAGACCACAATCCGAATAAAGAGAGTATTAGAGTTTGATATCTTCAAGGACTCAACTACGCTAAAAGATCAGAAATTGAGTCCCAATCAAACTTTGATTTCTAACCTATTAAATGACAGTGATTGTTCTCTTTTACAGGTATTGCACAAATGCAGAAGTTAAACAAAATTGAAAGCAAAAGAGTGAGGTGATTTTGCAAGCAATTTATGTGAGATTAGAGTGTGCACTCCTGAAGCTACTTGAACGAGATAGAAGAACCAGTTCCATTATGTTTTTTCTTATTCTAGTTCAATTGTAGTAGGTAGTTTAAAGTTATACCTTTCAGCTTTCATAGAAGTAATTGTATTAGGTACTTTGAGTGTTCAAGTTATAAGCTAACTTGAAGTTGTCGCACTAGTTGAGGTTGTGTGCCACAACGGGATTAGAGTTAATCCTTAGGTTTACAAAGTATTTTTGTAAATATTGTTTTGGCTAAGTGATTTTAGTGAAAGTTTGGAAAAATCCTACTGAGTAGTAGGTCGTGGTTTTTTCACCTTTTTAGCCAGGTGTTTTCCACGTAAAAATCTCTGTGTTTTTTATTTTATGTACTTTTTATTCCACAAGTAGTAGTAGTTAGAACACCTAGAAGAACCAGGTTCTTCTAGAGCGAAAATTGGGTACCCCACAAATCACTCCCACCCCCTCTTGTGTAGTATTGACGTTTAGAGCATTAAGTTCACATTAGCTGGAGTTCGTTCATTTGTAATGTGTACCAAGTGTGTCCGGTTCCCTATTTGGTTCTTGACAGTAAGTTTGTTAGATCATCAAAACATAAGGCAAAGAGATTGAAAACCCATCAGTTACTATTCGACCGTCCATTATAAACCAATTTTATGCTATACACCCCACCCCATAGTGCTTGCCTAAGTTATATATTTTTTCAAAAAATATTATTCCCAAACACTAAATAAATATTTTCGGAATTGTTTTTCACTCACAACCAAACATGAAAAAATAATTAGGAAAATGCATAAGTACCTCCCAACCTATGACCGAAGTTCCAACTATACACTTTTTCTTTTCGGGGGTCCTATTACCTTCCCCTCCCCCGAACTATTTTAATCTAGAATAAATTCACCCTTAAAATACTACAACCAAATTTCTGCTGGGAGGTAAACTACATGCCCTAGACAAGTGTATATTTCATTAAAAATTTATTTTTCTTTTCTTTCCTTTATTTTTTCGTTCTTCTTTTCTATTTTTCATCTACTCTTATCACCACCAAACTAGACAACAAAGTTTTACTCTATGCTCTAATTTTAGGCCCCGATCAATTTTTTTTGGCTGTTAAGCTAGGCTTGAGGCCTTTAGATGGGTATTATGGTGGTGGCAGTTTGGATGGTTTCTATCACCGGTAATCGTGGGGGCATAAAAATGGTGGCTCTTTGTATACGGTCGAGATCGGGATCCATCATTGCAAGATAGATCGGGATTGAAACGTGATGGGCTGAAGAACGACCCCGGGTCCCGTCGAACCAAGGTATGAGGTCGGAATGCCCATTCTCGGGAATATCGAGCCCATGACTCCGGAATTAACCCTGACCCCGACTGAGCTCGAAGAAACATTGCAGGGCCGAATAACGGAAGGCTAAATATCCGTAACCAGTCGGGTATCACGGCGAAAATCTCGGCACATACCAATGAGAAACCGGCTAATTAGCAAATCATGGAATTTTTTAAATTTTATAGAATTGTACATAAAGTGGAACTCCCCTACTATATAAAGGGGGTCTGACTATTTGTAAGGGGCATGTTACACGCATCCCAACAAAAAATACTATTTTTTTTCTGTAAGCTACTGTTCTTTTGTATCTGATATCTTTTGAACTACATCCAGTTCAAGTAAGAATCATTTTTTCAAGGCTATAACTATTTAATTTGCCCGATTTGAATTTATTTTATCATTGTTCTCTTTAATTACAATTCAATTCATCGCTTTCTGTCAAATTAATCCACGTATCCTTGAAATCACTCACAAATTTAATTATTATTCGATTTTGAGGCTAAACACTCTTATTAATAACAGGCGAGTGATGGTGAATTATGTGAGTATATGTGTGCCTGCTCGGTAAGCAAAGGCTTCTTTTGGTTTGCAATTTCAAAAACTCCATTTTTATCGACAGAAAAAAGATTTTCTGGTGACGGATGTTTCCAGATCTGAGTGGTTTTGTTTTAAAAATGTATAATTTTCTATGGACGTATGATTGGTGTTCGAGATGGAGAGAAAGAGGAAGAAGACTAATTGAAGTAACTAAATAAGAAGGCCATAAAAGTCGTCGGCGAGTGCAGTATGTTGTTCACGGGTGAAGTGGACGAGAAGAATAAAAAGACAGAGAAAAGAAAAAGTAACAATGTATATTTTTAATTTTTATATAAGTAAGAAAGTAATATATTAAAATCTTTTTGGCTTCTCACTCTTTTAGAGAGAGTAATATATACACACTTTGCCATCTAAGCCTTTAGGGTGTAATTAATTATACTATAAAATAATATAAGAGGGTAGTTGGGACTTTCATAAGTTGTGAGGTACTTACACATTTTCGCAAAATAATTGATAAAATTATTCATTTTTCAGGAGAATATTTTTTTTAAAAATAATTCCTCCGTACCAAAAATACTGTATGTATCTTTATGGATAAGCTTGATGTTAAATCAAGAGTTGAATAATCAAGTTGTTCGACAATATACTGGAAAGAAGGGGAAGCTCGGAGGTTTCTTATAAAAAGGATGAAAGATGAGGGACAACTGAAAATTGTGAGAGAAATATGCAAGGGTTTACAAGGCGTTGGAAAAATCAATAAAATTTGTACTACATAATTAGGATACATCCAAGAATAAATGATTGACTAATGTTATGATGGTGCGCTCTTATAGCAGTAAAGACCGTTTCTTTGATGCGAACAAAGAAGGAGAGAATTTTCGCCTTACTGTTTTGGACTTCATATTTTATTTTATTTTGGTAATCCGCTAGGCAAGCGCCTAGGGCTAATTTTTTATTAATAAAAGAAAAATAAAAATACAACAATTAGGAAAAGTATAAATAAGGGGGACAATAGCACCGGTATTGTTACCCATATGTCTTGGTTATATAATCACTCCCCTGCGCCTCGCTTTGCTTTATGATGGCAGCCTCATGTAGAGGATTTATGGTGTAGCTGCCGGCAACGTCTCACGAGGGCATATAATCTCATAGCCGTGTGGATATTTTTCCAAAGGCATAGGACCAAGACAACACTAACCGTGCTAAACCTTACCTTACCAATCCTATTGAGGCAAAGAGAAAGCCTCATCTTCTAGCAAACATGTAAAAAATAGGAATTTGAAAGTACCAAGTACTCTATGATCGCCATAGAGTTTATAACACACTCTATGACGCTATTACAAGTGATGATGCTTTGAAAATGATAAACTAAGACAATGTAGAAATTAGAATCTTGCCCCTCATTTATCAAACTTGTGAGTTCTTCAATTTGAACGTCCTTAAAATCCTCTTTAACTGTCTTCAAAAAATCTTCAAAGTTCTTCATTTGTTGTCGTATCTATTGGACTTCATAGATTTGGAGGGGGCAACCCCTTTTTTCTTTGCAGCTCTTATTGGGAGTTGCCTGAGTGTTTTTTCTTGAGTCACCTTCTTTTTTTTTGTTTTGTTAGAAGAGAAATCTCCAGTTGTAGCCGCCTC